CTGCTTTCTCTGTCCACCCCACACATGGGACCAGGTGCTGGGTTCAGGGCAGAGCTGCCTGTGGGGCTCACCCTCTTTTGTACCTGCAGCGTCCTGGGGCTTTATCTGTGGGGAGGCTGGGGGCTTGCTACCTCTGCCCAGGTGCCATTGAAAGCCCCGAGCAAATGCTCACCCGCATGAAGCCTGGGAAGGGACGGCAGCGCTAGAGCTGGGGACTTTGCCTGGGCATGCTCCCAGCCTGGGGAAAGGCTGATGGGCTCCGTGGGACGCGGACAGCGGGCAGGCTGGGAGGACAAGGGATGCTGGGCAGGGGCTGTCTTTCTGAGGCTCACCCACCCAGCCTCCAGCCCCACACAGCAGTAGGGCCCACACCTCCAGCTTGCTGCTGATGGCCCCTCTGGATTTTTCCGTTCCTAATCAAATCACATCAGGTTGGATTTCCCTCCCAAGCCGCCTTCCTGCCAGCTCGGCGGGGCACAGATGCAATCAGCCCTGCGCCAGCACAGGCAACAGCAGGAGTCAGCAGCTCGGGCAGGTCCGGCTCTGCAGCCCATGGGTGCCCAGGACCCTTCAGAGGGTGAAAGGTGACAGTGGGACAAGGAGCACTAAGAACACCGCTGCTTCCTGTGCCCTGATCTGCCCACTGGAAGGAGACCTGGGGCAGGCAGGACTTGATAGGCAGCTTATAAAACCGGTTGGGCTTTCTTTATCCCACTTGTCAAGACTCTGGATTTCATGTGCTCTGAAACAACAGCTCCCCTTTCCCTCCCTCCTGCCACCGCTGGTGCTGCCTGTCTCTTGGTGCTGGTCAGAAGGAGCTCTGCCCTGTCTGCAGCTGGCACGGGGGGCGCAGGTGGTTGCGAGGTGTCCTAGACCCTTGCTGCCTCTCCTGGGTCACTGCTGTACACATCAAATGTCCATCTACCAGTGCTTGCCAGGGCTGACAGGGCCATGAAAGCCAAAGTGGCAACAGCCCATTGCCCATCCCACCGGAAAACATACAGCAGCCACACACCGGCTGCCTGTCCCCTGCCAGATAATGCAGTTGTGCTTCAAGCCGGGTGCAGCTGAGGCACCAAGAGCCTCCTTCATATGGTGCTGAGCCAGCCAGCACCAGCACTCTGCCCAGCAGCGGTGGCACCGGTGCCCTGCCTACCCTGAGGTCCCGGCCATGGCTGGAGCACACTGTGGACACCCCCGCTAGGAAGAGGGGAATTAACTTGTGCTGCTCCTTCAGTCTCTGGACCTGAAGGGGCGAGCTGGGCCCTGCAGTACCCACCAGTCCTGCTCCCAGCCTTGATGGTGCAACCTTCCCCGCAGGGTCTGTCCCAGGACATGCCCTAGTACTTGGCTGCAGGACACGGGGTGCCGACACCCCTCACTTCTCCCATTTTACCCAAACTTGTTGCACCCACTGCTGCCCCGAGCCTGGATGTGCCCCCTTGAAGTCACTGGAGGTACAGGGCTCTTCCAGCCTAAACATGAGGGGAAATAAAGGGCACCAGTGTGCCTTTAAATAGCCCGACAAGGACAGGCTCTCCTGGGAGGAATGCTCTGGCTGGCCCGGTGGAACACGCTCGTGGCCGGGGGCGCGGGGGGACAGCCAGGCAGGGACAGCTCCTCACCAGGAGGTCAGATCAAGGTTAGGCATTGCCCTGGCTGGGCGCTGCTGTGTTGTAGCTCAGCACCACGGGAGCAGGCTGTGCAAGGGGGAGGGAAACACATGCCAGGCTGGGGTCTTGCCATGCCCAGGGCTGATCTGCAAGGTGGCAGCGGAGCCGGGCAAGCATTGCTGCCTGCAAGCTGCCTGCTGACCTGCAAGGGTTTGGCACCGGTATACCCTGGCTGCCGGAGCAGCCTGCCAGGCAGCTCGGGTTGTCCAGGAGTGGCTGCTGTGCTCCTGTCCAGGCTGATTCATATCCTGGACGTGCAGGCATTTGGATAGCGTCCACCCACGGGGTGTGACAGCACACAGCCGTGCCCCTGGCATGCAGGGCACCAGCCCGGCCGCGTGCCGGAGAGCAGGATGGTGGCAGCTCAGTCTCCAGGACGGTGGCAGCTCAGTCTCCGCTCTCCCCTGTCTTGCCTGTCCCCAGGGACATGGCAGTGGCCCCAGGCAGGGTGGGGAGCTGCAAAGTGCATCTCCAGGTGGAGATACCTGAAGCGCAGGGAGGATGGCCGCATGCCCAGGTGTTGATGTGCCCTCTGGCTCTGCCAGGATACCCGCAGCTGCCAGGGAAGCCCCAAGCCCGGGCTCCCAAACCTGGACCCATCCCCTCACCGTGGGGTGCCAGGAGGGGAATAGAGGTGCAGCAGGGCTGCAGTGGGCAGGGAAGGAGGGCAGTGGGGGGGGCACAG